TTTCAGCAAAGAAAAAACACTTTGATTCCCCTTACCTCTTTGCTCACCGGTTGTATTCCAGTTCCTGTTGGTGTAGCTTTCTTTTTATCAGTGAAACAGAAGGTGTTAAGATATACACAACTATAAAAAGGACCAAATGTTATAGGCCATTATGATCTCCTACTACCAGTAGGTGACTGCTTAAAAGTGTTCATTAAAGACATTAAATCATTTATTGAAGTTTCTCTCTCAACTTCATCACGCTGTTGATGGAATTCTAGGAATTAGCACAGTAATGCTGGTTTTATTTTTTATTTTTAAATTCTTTCTTTTTTTAAGTGTGTTTCTTGGTCAGAATATCCCATATCTGGCTGCCTGCATACACACCACACATCTTTGTACCTATCCATCTAGTACCTGTGTTTCACTTCTTTAGCCCAGAGACCAATTTTATCTGCATCCTCTGGAACTACAGAAACAAGAGCAATTTAAGATGGTTTTGTATCTTTGTATATTCCACTCAGGTTTTCTCCTTGGTAACTGAAAGGGCAGTTGTCAGCACCACCAGTTGAGCGTTTGGAACCCCTTTTCTTTGACTGTCCAATGGGAATTCTGTCTGTATTTCAGGTTGGCAACAGCAGCATAGCGTGGTCACTCGGTTACATGTTAACCCTCACAAACATGATCCCAGCAGAAGGCAAGCTGATCCAGTTACCTCTGAAACCTGCTTTGTTTGCTGGGCTCCTTGTCTGCCTCACAGCTACAGCATTGTTGTGTCTTCTCTTCCTTGTGTACTTGTGGATTGCATCACGTCATCGGAAGAACGGCAGCCGTGTTGAACATGTATTTATTCCAGAATGAACGAATCTTACTGAAAAGTTTTATAGTGCTATGAAGTAGGACTTTATTCTTGAAAAATGGAGGGTGAAATAAAGACAAAAGGCAGAAAGACTTCAGGACCAGAAGCATAAATGAGGAGAGACATTAAGGAGTCTGTGATACGGTGACTTGGAGTGCTTTTATCTTGACACTTGTTTCTGTAAACCTCACTCGTCCAGCGTGTAGCAGAGAAACAATGGGCAGGTTTGTTAATAAGGGATTAATAGCCTTTTCCTGACAGGTATGTATTATTGTTGTTGTTCATGTCGATCTGTGCTGATAAGTGGTGATAGATGTGACCACAGTGGTGGCTGTTTAAGTATGCCGTGAAACATGGCAGCTGTCCTGGTGTGCTGTGCTGCCACTGAAAGCTCCCAGGTAATCTCATTTCTGAAACTGGAACAAGCACTGGGTAATGACAGCAACTGAAAGGAACAGCTAGGGTAGTTTCTTCTATTGCTGTTCCAAACTGGTCTGCATAAAGGTGTAATAAACTGCCAACACCTCTCAGGAACGTCAAGCCTGTCTCAAACATAAGCTATATCCTTTTGTACCATGGAGATCTTGGCATGCCTCCGCTTATGGTACGTAAGATTTGTTTTGAAGGTTGAACAAAATGCTTTCATGCTTTGGTAACTGAACCTAAACTTAAATGTCTCATGGTTATCTCCAGAAGCCACTGGGGTTTCCAGTGCCCTTTTCTCTAACGCTTACAGAAATACTTCTGGTAGGTTCTCATCCTGAAACACTGAGCTGTTGATCTCAGGCAGCTGCAGTCAGCGCTGACTTGTCATGCATGTGTTATTTCAACTGTCTGGATAGACTCTCAGGCCTGGCACCTTCTGAAGCATTAACGTGTTGAGCCCTCCATTCAGAGCTCAGAGGAACAGGAGCCACCCTGCAGGCCAGCAGAATACCCTTTCTGAGGTGGGTTCAGGAACGTGTTGCTGGAGCTGCAGTCAGGGTTGTAGTGCCTCGATAAGCCTTTCCCCTGTCCTGGCCTCTGTGTGCCTTCAGCAGCACTGGGATCTACCTAACACATGCTCCTGTCAAACACATCAACTCCAGAGCTTTTGGGAAGTGCTGCTGCCTTTGTGCTCCGAAGAGCTGACTTCCCTTTCAGCTGACTGAAAGCCCCAGCATCCTTCACCAAACCTCTCATTCCCTTAAGTCGTAAGACTACAATTTTACCCACTGCTCAAGGCATTCTTCGTGGTTGATGCCCCTTTTACCTGCTTGTCTTTTGGTGTTCTTCAGCTGAGTTCTGAAATAACCCTTGAAACAATCTCCTGCCATGTCATCTGCCCTCTTTTCCCTTTGTACACTGTTAATTCCCCTTTATATTGCCATAACATGATCTGTGAAACCGCAAGGGTAATACAGCTGAAGGAGTTAGCAGGAAGAAGGGACTGTTGTACTTTTGAGGACCTCCAAGAGGAGAAAAGAGCATCTCTGCTTCACTTCCCTACTCCCCTTCTACCATCTCCTTTTGCCCAGATTCAATACCTCCGTGGAGCTCCATCCCCAGATGTCCTCCAAATAGCCACTGCCAGTCAATTCACATTCCTCTCTTTCCATCTTCTCAGCATTGCTTCCCTTTGTGCATTGTTTCCCCTGCTTACATCTTTCCTCTGTAAAGGGATGGTTACTCATTTAATGCAGTTTTTCAGTGTGAGCAAGTAAAAACTGGAAGGGAAATTGCCACATTCAGCATCTACTGCTAATGAGCTAAAGTTTGTGAGGCCACTTGAGTAGAGGTTTCCTTGCAGCTGTGTTGCATGCAAGAGAGTGCATGCACTAAAAGTCAAGTTAACCTTGGATTATGAATTGCAGTGGCATGTAGCGTGTTTTCTATCCTGACTTCATCTATTCCCCATATTGATTAGGTTGTGAGAGAACAGTGGCCAGTATTTTTAGCCATTAATATTTTCATGTTCTGTTTTTTGCTTCTGTATCACCTTCCTTCAGGTTTGGTTGGGGTTTTGCTTTCTTTTGTGTTTCACAGGCTGATGGATGATTTGAAAGAACTAAATACCTTTTTAAATGGAAAAAAGAATGAAAGTTAGTGATTTTTCAAGAGAATCAGCAGGGAGGGTTTTGTCCCTTCTGTGTTGGTATAGCTATGTCCTGTCAGTCTTACTGAAGTAGCAGTACTTAAAATAAGGCAGAAGGTATCACAAGGTGATGAAGTGCTCTATAGCAACAAGTTACATCTGATAAACCAAAAAGCTTAATTCACAATGCACTGGCATTACAGAATAATGGCATGAGATAAAAGCTTTATCTTTGGTGTGATGGATCTGGGACTGCAGTTAAGGGTAGAAAATCCCAACAGTTGGATGAGAGCATTAAAATGTCTTCTTAAGTTGCCAAATTTCTGTGGGAGATGGTATTCTGGAACATGTACTTGCCTTACAAAACCTTTGCTTTGTGAATGGCAGGGCCATTCAGTCATGGGTTTACACAAATGGAACATGCTTGGAAGTGAGCTTCCTTGGAATTGGCAGCTACAAACCAAACTTGTTTAACAATCATTTGGACTCCCAGATGTGCTTGGATGGAGCCAGTTTCTGTTGAGGGAATGCCTTCCCCCTGCCACTCACCTCCTGTTTACCTGCAGTTCATGGTTGGCCACGCAGCCAGCTTGCCTGCCCTCGGCTACCTACAGAGGTTGCTTCTTGGAGGAGAGCTGGGGCAGTGGTGGTGGTCATGGCTTCATAGTCAGAGCTAAACCCTCCCTGAGGTGCAAGGCAGAACCCCATCAGCCACTGGGTCCTTGGCATGTCAGCTGGAACCAAACACAGGGCTGGGAAAGCCAGTGTATTAGCAGTGATTGTGAGCGTGCACAGCTGTAGGTTGTCTTTTCACACTCTATTGCCTGTATATGAAGACTAATAAAACTAACTTGTGAAAAGTTAATCCAAGTGTACTTTTCCTTATTATTTTCCCCCTGGTATAAATGTTTTCATCCTCGTGGACACGCTGCTCTTATGAGAGAGGTGGGAAGTCTCTGAAATGCTTTACTGGAGGGTGGAAATGTGCAAGCTGCGGAAGTGATGCTGCACAGTGGACAGTGCTCTTTATCTCCAGATTCCATACTCTTAGCAAGGAATTAAAACCAAGCCACTCTTGTGATTTTTATTTTTAAATATATATACACAACACACACAAACACATAAACTTCCACTTTTAAACATTGTTTTCAGTTAGGGACACCACTACTTTCTAGGGCTTCTTTCAGATTCAGGGCCAGAATGCAGAGCTGAAACCTTATGTGTCAAAGAGCAGCAATTCCCAGTTGCCAGAGCCAACTGATTGAGCTGCAGATGCATTAGAGAAAGAACTGTGGGGCACAGGGAATAGGACCTATAGGGAATAGAGATTGTCTAACAGGAAAAAACACATCCATGGAGAAAGAGCAGGAAATTAATCCACCAGAAGAATGAGATGTAAGATGAATTGCATAAGGCCATTGGTGAAGGGGCGGGGGCCAAAAATGACAATTTCTTTTAAAGCAATACCCCATGCTGGTGGAAGAAAGCAGCAACTTGTGCTGCGTGGTGTAACGTCTCCGGAGATAACATGCTCAAGAACAGACCGAATGTCCCTTTTGGCTGTTTCTAAACCAACTTCTCACCACCTACGGAGCCCACCGGTAACGCTGGATTTACCCCATTCCCCACGTGCTCCGTTGCACCCAGCGCGCTGCCAGGCCGCACTCCCGAACGAGGGGCCGGCTCTGCGCGGTGGTACGAACAAACACCCACGGCCCGGGCGCTGTATCTCCTCCTCCCCTCGTTAAAACAAACGTCCCGTCTCGAACACGGGGACAACTGTAACAGACCGCATCGGTTCTGCTCTACCGGAGCTCAAACACGAGCTCACACACGGGCCTCTGCCATCCTCAACGACACCGCGCCGCTGCCTGACGGTGAGGCGGAGCCAAGCCGCCGGGCCGGCGCACCGAGGCTGCCCTCCCTCCCCTGGAGCTCGGGGAGAAGCGCAGCTCGCTGCCCGGGGCGGGCCCGCCGCCTCACGGACCGACCCTACCCCTTACCGGCAACACCCACGGGCCCGGCAAGATGGCGGCAGCCCTTCCCCTCTCCCCCCCAGCACGCACAGACGCACGCACGCACGCACGCACGCACGCCACCGTCACGCTACTCCGACGCATGCGCAGTGGCGGCTCCGGGTGGATTTCCGGGCGCTGCGAGGGAGGCTCCTTCCTTTCTGCTCGCGGGCGGCCATCATGGTACGTGCGGCCGGCGCGGGCCTCCGCGGCCCCGGCGGGCTCCCCTCGGCCTTCCCTCTCTCCCTCCGGTGCCTTCCCGCTGCGCCTGTGTCTCCCTGCGCCCGGCTGAGCGGCTGGGCTCACGCACTTACCCCTCCGTGAGGGACTCACCCCTCCGTGAGGGGAAGGCCGCAGCCGCCCCACGCGTGCTGGGCTGGGACCGGGCCCCGCGTGTGTCTGCGGGTGGGGATGCTGCTTTGAAGGCTGTGAGGAACTTGGGTCTGCTCTCGCCTAACTCTGTCAATTCGCGTTGCTCCCAGGTGTTCAAACGCTTCGTCGAGATCGGCAGAGTCGCCTTCATTTCCTTCGGGCCTCATGCTGGCAAGCTGGTGGCCATTGTGGATGTTATTGACCAAAACAGGGTAAGCCGTGAGTGCTCTACCTGTGTTTTCTTTTTCCTGGCTTAATAGAAGCTTGTACATTGAGACAGCTTGTAAATAGGTTTTTCAAAGAAATAAGCAATTGATAAAATATGAAATTTAATAGTCATTTTCTGCTTGAAGCTTCCAGTAGCAAGCTTTTATCACTGGCAAGTGCTACATTCCCTTTTCTGCTACGTTTCCTAGGGGAAGTGGAGAAGTGATGTTAGTTGGAATATAAAACTTATGAATGGAATGGCATTGATGTATGTTTAAAGCGAATTCTTGGGCTAGGGGACTCTCCTTGCTTAATGTTCAAAGAAAAAGGGAAAAAAAAAGGTGAAACATGTAATTTTAGTTCTGTGTTTTTCTTTTTACATCCAGTTTGTTGTGTTGTGTTTTTTTTTTCCCAAAACCAAAGATCAGGCCTTTGAAATTATTTTTGTAAAGCTTGGGTTGTGTACATAAGATTAAACTTGAGTTTTGTCTGCTTGACATTTATTGTAGTTTTGGACCATTGTGGTGAAGGTGCTATTCATACAGTATTAGGAGGTTGCTGTCTAAATCAAGTATGAAGGAAAAGCGCTGGTCCAACGTGCCCCCACATGTGTTTTCCTTTTTCAGGCACTGGTTGATGGCCCCTGCAGTGGTGTCAGGAGGCAGGCTATGCCCTTCAAGTGCATGCAGCTGACTGACTTTGTTCTCAAGTTCCCACACAGGTGAGTTGTTGGTGTTTTTTGACCTCTGTAGCAAACTGCTGTCATTTGATGACTGAATTATTTGATCTGATACTTGCTAAATCTAGAAGGTTCATACAGCATGAAGTCAGTGGATTAACATATGCACAGTAAACACTTGACAGGCTTTGTTATTGTAGTTGAATGCATTTAAGTTTGCATTACCAATATTGGCTGATAGCTGCTGTGCAGGAGCAGAGGAGACAGTGCGCTGGCTTAGGTAACTTGCAGATAGTTGTGGGGTGGATGTTGTGGGGGGAAAGCAGTTGCAGTAAATACTGTGTGCATCTTTGCCTTTGCTACTGTTTGGATCGCCTTTAGACATTAAATGTATTCCCTGTGTACAGAACTGCACTGGAATTGCAAGAGTTCTTTTTAGCTTAGTTACTGTATAAATTAATTTAAAATCAGGGATTGCTGCCTTTCTGATTCCGAAGTAGTGCTAGGAATAGTACCTCGGTATGCCTTTTGGAATCACTCATCTGTGAGCCCTAGCAAAACATTCATTAGGCCACAGAGATGTATGTGGCATTGACTTAAAGTGCCTGAAGTAATAGAGAAGGGTGATGTATGGAATTTGATGGGCCAGCATCAGAGAGAACCTTTTTATAAAGCCTTTGAAGACAATTTTGTGGCTGTTGTAATGCAGTGCTCGTCAGAAGTGTGTGCGACGTGCTTGGGAGAAGGAGAATATAAATGAAAAATGGGCAGCGACAAGATGGGCAAAGAAGATCGAAGCCCGAGAAAAGGTACAGTCTTTCACTGGATGCATAAGACACATTGTACTGCCTCTACTTAACTAAAATCAGGTTAAATCTAATAAACTATGTGTATTTGCAGTTGCAGGCTAAGATTGAAGGTAGACGAGGCATAGATGGCTTCAGCCTTTTGTAGTTTAACGGTAGAGACGGTTTTGTTAAGTCATTTCTATAACCACTCTCTTCCTGCACCATTGCTTCCCAGTGAACTAGTTCCAGATGTGCAGCTAAACCTAATTGGAAATGGTCAGGGTTACTTGTGGAATGTTTTGAAACAGAGTTGTACTACTTGTGTATGAGTATGTCAGAGCTTCATGACTGATTCTTTTCAAACAGAAAGCCAAAATGACCGACTTTGATCGCTACAAGGTTATGAAAGCAAAGAAAATGGTAAGTGTTGGAGTGTTGCTTTTTCTTATTGCTTGTAGCTTTCACTATATAGAGTCAAATTGCAGATATTGGGAGCCTTACTGTCATAGCTGGTTTGGGTTATGGAGTGGCACGAAGTATGTGAATGCGTTGAATTTTTCATGCTACTGTGGGCTTCTCTTCAGTATTAATCACACTTGAATCCATGTGATCTGTGTGTCAGTCCCCCAGGTTATAGCTGAGGAAGGAATTACCTGCTGATGAAATCGGGTACTCTTGATGAGTTGCTGTGATAGTATTTCATTCTATACACATACAATACTGGGATGCCCAAGTTACCAGCCAGAATGATGTTAACCATTTATCAGAACAGTTTTAGATGGAATTTGACATTTTAAATGTAACACCTGGTAAATTTTGTGACTACAGAATAGAAATAAAATTGGTTAACAAAGGGTGATTATAAAAAAGGACAGAATCTGAAAGCACAGGATTTAAATTAAGGCATACTTGAGTCATTGCTGGTTTCATTCTGATGGATGGTGAACATTTTCCTTTTTTACAGAGAAACAGGATCATCAAGCATGAAATGAAGAAGCTCCAGAAGCTGGCTTCTCAAAAGGGCAAGAAGCCAGAGAAGGCGCCAAAGCCAGAGAAGGCATCAAAGGCAGAAAAGGCGCCAAAGCCACAGAAGGCACAGAAGCAGGAGAAGGCGCAGAAGCAGGAGAAGGCGCAGAAGGCACAGAAATAAAATGAACTTCTAGTTGTGTATGACTTTGTGTCTTCTGATTCTTTAAAATTAACATCTGTTTTTAAATTTTAAGAAGTTCACTTTTGCATCTGACCAAGAATTGTTGTCTGTCTCCTTTATTAATAATGTCCCAGTTCTGGTGGTTTCCAGGAGTGTGCAGAAATGTTTGTCACATTCTGTGACACCATTCAGACTGTGCTGAGTGCTCTATACCTAGTGCCAGTTGAACTCTTTGCATGCCCAGTTAGTTGTCCAGATCCTGACATTTTAAAGCAGCCTGTTATGGAAACAGTTGGGAATGCACAGGATTACTTGCACAGTCTTGAGTATGAAAGGTGAGACATAATTACCCTCATTTCTTCTGTATAAGCCGTAAACTGAAAGTATGTGTTCTGGTTAGAATCTAAGTATGTCAGTGTTTGAAAGGCTGACATGTTGCTGTTCAAATGCTTTAAATGATTCCCATGTTTAAAAAACAAGCCTTCCGCCACTGTTCAAGTACTGACCTGGAATACTTGCATCAGACGTCTAACACCACAGTAGTCCTGTAAGTACAGCTACAATAATTAATAGTTAATAATTATTAACAAGATGGGAATTGGTGACTTGTGTTTAATCGTGCTTGCTTTTTAGAATGGTTGAAGGATAAAGAGTTTATGTTGAGACCTGAGTCTAATTACAGTTAGGCAGCATATAATTCCTGATTTTTGGTCAAGATCAAGTAAAAGGGGCCATGAGTTAAGAATTACTCAATCCACTTGAAGCACTGAAGTGCTTTGCCCTATAAAATGTTTCTATATCTTAATGTCATAATCCATCTTTTCCTGTGTTATCTCCTATGCAGTTTGTTGCCAGGGGTTATGTGTTCTTCATTTTGAGTGAAGAAGTAGTGGAAGTCTTGAGATCTCTGGTAATGGAAAAGCAGATTATAATCAAATATAAAATGGAGGAGGGAGAATATAAGTTTTAAAAACAAATACATAATAAAATCTATAATATACTGATAATCATGTTTTTAAGTAGTTACATGGCTAGTGCTGCTTATTTCAGCCAGAATTGGCCATCTGCATGCTGAAACACTTCAAACTGTATAATGTTGTCTTGAGCTGTTTTTATGCCCTTGGAAATTGAGTTGATATGAACATGGTTGATATGAATGGATAGAACAACTAAGGAAAAAAAGCTGTGCAAATTGAGATTAAACCCCATGTTCAGGCATTGGGATCCTGATTTTTCAATTTGATTTTAAAGCAATTAAATCCACATACTCTGAAACCCTTAACTGGGAAGGAACTTGAAAGGTCTATCAGCCTGGAGATCCTTTAAGGTGAAGGATTTGTACTTTAGGGTTGTTTGGGGTTTGTTTTTATGTACTACTGTTAAGCTCAGTTACGTAAGATGGGGAATACTGGTAAACGTGCCTGTAGAGAAACTGCGTTTAGTCATAATGAGGTCACAAGTGCTGTTTCTACATTATTTGTTCATTTTTTAAAGGTGCTTGCTTCCAAAGGGTAACTGGCTGTGACTGCAGCTATTTATCCTCTTTTCATTGCCATTAGTACCGCTTGACAGCCACTGAGTTATCCAGAACATTTCCATGATACAGTGTGTGCTGTAACCTGCGATGCTGCCTGGCAGTTCCTGAACAGGAACCTTAGAGTAGTACAAAAGATAGATGCAGGTTGTGTCTGCCCTAGCAGTACACTGTGGAAGTGGGTGTACTGTGGGAGGGCAGCATTAAAAATGATGGCTCTGTTAGGGAGAGCAAGTGTTATGTGCCTTAGAAGAAAACTTGTCTGTCATCAGATGCTGTGAAAGCACTGTTTTTTTACAATCTGGGGGAAAGGAGAGAAGAGAACAATAGAATATATACTGGTCTTTGGTACTTGTGCTGTGTCTTTCTGACAGCATATTCCATGTGAGCAGCGTCTGGTGCTCCTCTTAGCAACTCGTGAAACCACCTGCAGCTTTGCATCGATGGTTGCCCACCTTCCTTTCAATCCACGAGTGTTGTGCCATCTGTGCTGCTTTGTCCTCTTGCTAAAGCTATGGGGATACTCTTAGTTCAGTTTTATTTCTGAAGGTTGCCACACGATGGCAACGTTAGCTCTTCACAAGGTTGTTCCCAAGTTCCAAGCCAGGCAAACTGCCTGCAGGGGACAGTGCCAAACAAAGGGGATGGCTCTCACATTTGAGGGCAGTGAGTGTGCTAATCCAGGTCTTTATTTTGCCTTTAGTTGGCTAAGATGTAAGGGTGTAGTTGGCTTAGGGTATACTTCCTTAGTGTAAAGTGTAAAGCTGAGTGTAAAGAAAAAGGATCTGCTGTTTAGAAAAAAACTTAAAGTCAGTCCCAGTGTTGATTTTCTCAGTTCATTTCACATAATGAGGTTTGCTGGGGGCAGAGGGGGGGATGTACCCTACCCCAGATGTCCTGAGATCAGCAGATGATTGCTGTACTTCCTAAACTGATAGTGCTAGTTTGCAAACACAGTCCTAACCTCTGCACCTTGGTGTCTGGGAGATGTGAGCAATGCTAGGAGTAGGCTTGGACCCTTAGCATAGTCTGTAGTTAAAAAGTGTAAAACCTGCTGCTACTGTGAAGCAGCTGCAGTTCTGGGCCAAGTGATTTGCAGGTGATGCATAATTTGGTTTTCTTCATCAAAAAAGGTTTTATTTAAGTGCTTTTGTTCTCGTCTAAACATGTCTGTTGCTATTTGGCATCTGAATAGGTTTTAACTTTGTTTCGGAGATGTAATAGTCTTGGAAGAGGAATCTCTGGATTTACTGATCTTCCTGGTTTTCAGACTGTCCTTCAGTTGAGGTTTGCTTGGTGACCATGATGTTTCAAGTAATTTAATCTTGTAGCTGCCTATATATTAATAGTAGGTAATGCTGTCCACTCTGAACTACTGTGCCACTGATGCTGGCATGGGCTTATGGCTGGTCTGGAGTACAGCTGGATTCCCGAATTTATTTTGTCTTACTTCACTTGTAATGCTCTTTCAATGTTTCCAGCCCTGTATGCTTCTGTTCTTTCCCCCTGCCCACATTGAGAAGGTGTCTCTGAAAACTCCACGTGCCTGCTTTTCATGGAGATGAGAAGGTGCTGATTTCTACTCGCAGCATTATTCATATATGAGTAAGTACAGCTTACAAGCAGGAAGTGGTAACTGGAAGAAATTATGGGGATGGCCGTGTGGTTGGGCTCTGCTCACTTCAGGTCCTTAGCTTTTGGTTCCTCCTTTGTATAATCAATTTTTTTCTTTTTTGTTTAATTTGGACATAGTTTTTATTACTGTTTCAAGCTTGAAGTCATATATACTGCTGTTGTAATCCAGAGTTTCTACTGGAATTTCCTTCTCTGAAGCAGAAAACATACCTGTTTAAGCACTGTATGCCTGGTTGTGCTGAAGTACTGCAACCCCTGTCCTTACCTTGATACAGGCAGTGTGGCCCTGTGTATACTGGAGATGTACCCACACCCTCTCTTTTTTAACCTGAACTCATAACAGGCTTTGTTTTTGGATGCTGTGCAACCTCCACTTCATGCTGTTCACAAGTGTGAGTTTGGCTCAACCTTCACCTTGTGCAGCTAACCCCTGTGTCATATTCTTGTTTTAAATAAATGAGTTGGTGATGTTTTCCTCGCCTCACGTTCAGTGATCAGAAGCCAGTCTGAGTGGTCTCCAGGTAAGTCTTTGTAGCAAGCTCTCCTTCCTCTCCCAAAAGCTTTCAGACCACTATGTGCATCTGAACTTTTCCACCTGCAGTCAGCTATTTGTGCTGATCACCAGCCTAAAAATTACACCGTTGCTACCAGCAGAGAGCCACTTCCTCCTTGGTGAGCTGCATTGACCTAGTTCTTATTATAGAAGAAGCGTTTTTTAACATTTAGGCAGTGGTCTTCTTGTTTGAGGCTATTTTCCAGGGTATTTTGTTCTGTCACTGTTTGGGAGCATCGTTTCTTCTATACTGTGGTTAAAGGCCCTGACCTGCCATTGTGGTCCTCAGCAGAGCTGAGCTCTTCCCTCACATCAGCTTTGGGCTGCTCTTGGAGCATGGGCGGTGTTTTGGGGCGGTGTGCTGCTGATAAAGGTTTCTATGGCAGGATCTCATCAGGAAGCTCTGGGTGCTTTGAAGAAGTTAACGGTGTTCATATTTAAACAACGTGAAAGAACATTGTCTTTGAGATCAGCTGTCCTTTACCTAAGGACACACACTGGGAGGCCACAACATACAAATATCTTTCTCAGCAGTCAAGATGTTTTAGAGCTGCTGTTTGAACCTCGTATTTACAAAAGGCATCGAACGAAAGAAAGGACCATTGCTTAGCTGTGTTAACTGCAATCAGATGCTATATTAAGGTGATCTAAAGAAAGGATGGGAAATAGACTTGTGGGCTTTTTCCTTCTTACTTCTCTTCCTCCCTGGAGCCCCTAAATAACTTTTAAAGGGATTTTTCTTTTTTTTATTTTTTATTTCTACTGCTTGTCTCATTTGTATTGCACATACTGAGTCTTGGCTCATCCTGGAAGTCTCTGTGGATAATGGGAAAAAAAATCAGAGAGTTTACAGCATAGTGAAGTAAATTAAGTCTGACTAGCTGAAAGTGGCATCATTTTTGCTCTGGTTGCTCAAAGCCTTTTCAAGGTCCAGGGAGAGGCTGGCAGGCTGCAGCTGTTGACAATGCATGCAGGTCCTCAACCCAGATTTAAGCAGGCTTCCTCAGCTCCCAGCCACCTGCATGTGACCTTGGAAGGGAAGATGTGCATGCAGTGGACATGCCTGGCCTCTGCTGGCAAGCACCAGTGTTGTCCTGGAGTGGGAGGCAAGTGTCAGGGTGCAAGGGGTAGAAACCAGGAGATGTGGGGGTTGATGTGCTTCTCCAGCCCACAGCTTCACAAGTGGGACATGGGCCCTGTCATGGCACAGTCCTCTGGCTCCTTTCATTCTCCCCTGCTCCCTGGGTGGTTTTGGGTTGCTCTTCAGAAGTCAGCACCATGCATAGATCAGTTGCCAG